AGGAGGTTATTCTGTGGGATTTGGAGAAAACAGGCTTCTCTGCCATCAGCTTCCCCTTCTCCTTCACTCAGCATTCAGATACAGGCTCTAAGCAGAGCCCTTGGGCATGCCCCTCCCTCTTGGCCCTGCCTATGTCTCCACAGATTGCCCCCCACGGCTGCCAAGACCCCTTGCCTCCTGCCCTGGTCGGTCTGCAGGAAGGACACACGGAGGCCAGTGCACACGCTCCCAACACGGCTTGAGATAAATATTTCCCGGGAAACGGAACTTGTTCTCTCTGTGTTTACAGCCAAGGGCCAGGCAGGACAGTGGGGGAGGGGCCAGTGGAAGAACCTCATCCCCGGCCCACAGCATCAAGCTGGGCACTGCCTCAGACCTGCTGTGCACGTCCGAGTCAGGATCTGCCTCTCTCTGAGCCGGGATGCAAGGGGTCTGGGTCTAGGCTTGCCCACACTCCTGTCTGGGTCTTAGCTTGTGTTTTCTCTGGGTGCAAATCTTGCACTTTGATGCCTCCCTCTTGAGACTGTCTTCTCTGATTGCAAGACTGATAGTGCCCATCTCTCTCTTATCCTCAGGTAGTCAGGGGTGTGGACAGACAGATGGGCAGACAGAGAGGCAGGAGTGGCAGCTGAGACCACCTCCCTGGCCCCAAGTCCCTGCACACCCTAGCCTTGTGCAGCCTGACAGGTGGGCACAGACAGATGGCAGGGCCTCAGGGCCCTATGGATGCCAGATGCTATGGCCAACTTGTTGGCAGCAACTCCCTCGGGGCCATGGGACATCATTGAGGCCACTTGCTCCTGAAGTGCCGAATCCAGGAGAAGGCAGGCACATCTGGCAGTTAGGAGCACTCACTTGAGAATTTTAAACATGAGCCTGAAAAGCGCTGCCTGCAACAGCCCTTCCAGCCTCACCCCAGTGCTCCCCTCCCTGTAAGATATGCTTCACGGACATGTTCAACCCTCTCCCCCGGAGGCCTGGCAGCATCCCTCACGCCCTTGCACAAGCTGTTCCTTCTCCCTCAAAGCCCTGCAAAGGCCCCTGTGGCAATCCCACCTCCACTACCACCCTGGCTCCTACCCTGCCTATTGCTGCCCTGCTATGCTTGGTTTACTTATCGACCATCAGTGGCCTCAGTCTCATCCCCAACTTGGAAGCTAAGCTTTGCTCAGTCCAGGACTCAGTAGGTTTTGGAGTGGGGTTCTAAGTACTAAGCCAGCCTCCTGAAGACCTTCTGGGGCTGAGTCCTTGCTCCAACCTCCTCTATTTCATGCTGGTCTTTATGGCATTCATTTGGTCCTGTCAGAAGCATGTGGACTCCTCTGACTGCTCAGCTCCTCTCTGCCTTCATTCGGCTTTACCTGTCTCCATCCTTCCAAGTTCCAAGGCTGTCTCCTCCAGGAAGTCTCTGAGACTGCCCAACCCAGCAACTTTGCCCCCTTCCTGGAACTACTTAGAACAGCCCTACTCACAGCCATTCTTGTTCATTCAACAAGTGTTTATTGAGTACCTGCTGTATAACCAGGCCTATGCCAGACCCCACATAGGCCCAAAAGAGACAAAGGAGACACAGTCTTGGTCTTTGTCCCTCTTCCCCGGGTTTACAATCACATGGAAAAGGATAAATAACACATATAACCATGGGGAATAACAAGGTACCAACTGCAGGCTCAGGGAAACTTAGGGTCTGTGAGTGCCTGGGACTGCAGTGAGTGCCTGTAGGAGTCTGACTCAGCCTGAGGTGGAGGGAGCAGTCTGAGAGGACTTCACAGAGGAGGTTACATTTCATTAGGGCCTTAAAAAGAGAGAAAAAGGGAAAGGTGCTCCAGACAGAGGAGTCAGTGTGAGTGAAGGCAGGGAGGCCAGAAGAGTGGGTTCATGGTAGGGAGTGGGCACAGCCATTTGGCTGAAGCATGGGGTGAAGGGTGGACACGAGGGGGACCCGGTAGGCAAAGCCAACAATGCCATGCCAAGGGTGAGGTCTTTACCTGTCCCAAGAACAACAGTAAAGGAGCCAGTGCTAGGCAGTGCCTTGGGTGCTCAGTGCAGATACCTATGGCCTAGATACCTATGTCCACATCTGCCTCACCCCTATCCATCCCAGTTCCCCTCTGGGCCTGGAAAGCCGCACAGACAGGGCATGGACTCGGTGCACTCGGTTCACCAGCTTGAATGGCCTCCGCCCTGATTTCCAGGGAGAGTAAAGATGCAGACGCCTGGCCCTGAAGAAGGATGCCAGGCTAAGCTGCCAGGGCCTCTCCTCCAAGTTGTTTGCTGGCACAGGGGCCCGGGAGCGATCCCAGGAGGGTGTGCTAAGCAGATGCCTGCTGGTAGAAACCGGTGCTGGCAGCTCTGCTCTCCTGGCTGCTGCCCAGCCAGTGCCAGGACAGCATGCCATGCCCACAGAACCTTCACAAACCTTAGTCCAGCCCTGTGATGTACCCTGTCTCATGGGGGTACGGCCCACTCCTGGCTCCAAGGATGGCATCTGCAAGGGACAAGGGAAAGGGGCAGAGGCCACACCATAGGCCAGGCCCCTCATGCTTAGTGTCTTTGTAACTTATACCAACAGCTCTGTTGTGATAATGTCCAATAATAGTAATTATGTCCAAATAATAATGGAGGTTCTTACCCCTGTTTGGCAGGTAAGGAAGCTGATACTCAAGAAGGCTAAGTGGCTGGCTCAAGGTCACATCCCTAGGAAGTGGTGAAACAGGGACTTGAACCTGCTTAACTTTCCACACTATTTGTCCACAGCATGAGCCCATCTTATCTCCCCAGACTCTGCCCTGATAAGAGGGTTCTTTGTCAGGCTCTCAGTCTGTCTTCCCTCCTTCCCTCCAGCCTGAGTAACATCTTGGGTCCCCACTTTCTCCAGTCCTCTCCTTTCTATATCGGGGAGTCCCCAAGGGCAGCCCATCTCTTCTCCCAGCAGGGCCAAGCATGGGCCTGGGCACTCAGGCTAGGTTCTCTCTTGCTGAGAGAGCCCAGAAAACTACTGGGAGGCCAGGCAGACAGTAACCATCTTTGAGACAGGTGTGGGTTGGGAGCAGGACAGAGGTGAGGAGCTCATGGCCTAAGATCTTCAGTCAGAGGCAGTAGGACCCAGACATAAGACAGGCAGAGGGAGACCACAGGGACAAGAGTGAGTGGCACTGGCCTCTCTTGGAGAGGATGGGGCTAGTGGACCTGGACAAGGGGCAGAACATGGGCTTGCGAAGAACAGGACCAATGGTCAAGAAAGAGAGGCTGTCACAGAGGCATAAGCAAGGAGCCAAGACCAGACACCTTCCCTCAGGGCCCAGCCCTCATTACCCAGGAGGGTCTCATCTTCTCTCAAGGCCCCTCTCCCCTTGTGCTTCCTGAGCGGATGACAAATCCAGTCTTTCCTGGCGGGTGGCCGAGGCTGCTGAGACACACTGCAGGCTCCCAGGAACACCATCTGTCCCAGCTCTGGGGGAGCCCCCGCCCCATGGGGAATGCCATGGCAATAAATAAATTAATAATGACTTTCCAGGCCCTCCCCCGCCTCCCTCTGCCAGCTCCCCGCAGCAGGGCCCACTCCCACTTGGAGGAACAGTCTCAGGGGCTTGGCCCTATGTCTCAGCAGGGACACATGCTGTGTGCCAGTTCCCACGTGGGCATTTCTTTTCCTGTCTTACTTAAGGGCAAGGAAAGAGGAGGAGCCTGAGACACATCTGGGCTGCACTCTCAGCTTGCCCTGATCCACTCATTGCACGATCCCTCTGGGCCTCTGTCTCCCCAAATGTAAGAGGGGAATACTAGTGGCCCCTACCTCATAGACTGTTGTGAGAAATAAACAAGATATATCTAAAGCTCCTGGCACACAGGAGGTGCTGGTACAAGCGGCATCTTCCTCTCCTCAGCCTGGTCTGGGCAGATTCATGCTGTTCTGGCTTCATGGTCCAATTTACACACACACACTCACACACAGCCCTCCTTTGTGCCAACCTTTGACATCTGCAGCCCACCCCATTTTTGCTCCACAAGATCCCTCTGAGCATTGAAGATTCCTACAAGGTACCCAGAGCCATCATCGGGGACTGGACTTGGCACCCCTGATTTCAAAGGAAAGGCACTGCTGAGCCCTCACAGGTACCCATCAGAGGGAGGCGGAAGCTTCAGGAATGAAAAAGGCACAGTCCTCAGGCTGAAGGAGCTCACAATGCCCAGAGGAGGATGAACCAGACGTACACACAGTCACATGATGGAGAAACAGGGTGCCATGGCACGGCTCAGTGGGTAACAGACAGCAGAATGCCCCAGCAACTGCCAGGGCAGGAGAGCTCAGAGGAGGGAGCGTGAGCAAGCTTGGTCCTGCAGTCAAGGAGCAGGGAGGACTTCCCGGAGGAGGGGAGGCTAGAGCTGAGCCCAGAAGGGTTTAGGAAACTGAGGGGTAAGAGGCCAGAGAGAGCAGTTGAAAGGGGCAGGAAAGGATGAAGGAGGAGGGACTATGGCCAGGCTGGGGCTGCAGAAGGGCCATGGGATGGGGAGGGAGCACAGAGAATTTTGGGCAAGTTCAAGCCTGTGTATTAGAAGCATCCTTTTGGCAGCCACATGGAGGCTGGGGGCAACTGAAAGCAGGCAGCTGGTGAGCGCCCAAGGGAGAGATGACAGGTCCTAGGAACTCAAGCAGGCACAGGAACTGAGAGGAGGAGAGGGCCTCTGGGAACACTTAGGGCAGAGAATCAACAGGGAATTGTTGGGTGAGGGTAGGGAGGTTGAGGGCAGATCTGAAATGACACTCAGGTGAGCTGGGAGGAGGAGGAACCCTCAGTGGTAGGGATCGCTAGGCCAAGTAAGTAGAGAGTGAGGAAAAATGGTCTTGACATGGGGTGACCCTAAGCTGGAAGTGGTAGGGTTGGGATGCGACTCCAGCCTCCCAGTCCTCCCAGGGTGAAGGCACCGCTCAGACTGACCTTCAGCCTGTGCCACCACCCCCCCAAGCCCACCCACATCTCCCTCCACTGAGCTCTCACCTCCAGTCCGTCGTCTCTACTCCCTGGGGGTTCTGGCTTCTTTGCAAGGGGGTCCTGGCTGGCTGCAGAGACAAGAAGGCCAGGGGCTGAGGCCTGCCGGGCCTTCTCCCCTTCTCCCCAGCCTGCCCTCCCGTCGGCCCCCAGCAAGCCCACAGGTAGCCTCCTCCTCTAGGGAGCCCTGCCTGGTTGCACACTGCTCTCTCCCAGACTCCCTCTTTGTTCTCTGTCTCTCAAGGCCACCTCTGGCTCTGCCACATTCTGGCTCTGTTCTTCAACTCACAGCACAAAACCATGTTCCTTCTTTCTGCCTAGTGCTCTTAAGGAATGGAAATGACCACATCTTTACCCCTTCTCAGGTCCCCTCCACTTCTGCTTCTCTCCAGTGAAGCTCCCCTAGGCCTCAGACCCTCTATCTATAAAGTAGGATCTGTAATGTCACTGGGCTTCTACAGCCAGTCGGGCCTGTGCTCACAAAAAACCAAGGGGCTCCTAGCCCAGGGTTGTTTGAATCCCAAATGAATGTGAACACATGTGTGAGCCCCCACCCCCAGCCTGGCACCCAATCATCTGGGCTCAGATGGGACCTCCCAACCCACATCCCACCAGCACCATTTCCACAGCTACTCAAATGCTGGCAGTGGAGATATTGCCACAGCAGCCTAGAGACACACCAGGGGCTCGCTCACTCATCCCCTGAAAGCCTGTCACCAACTGGGTGGCATTCAGATACCCAGGCTCTCTGAGAGGCACTGCCCAGGGGCCAGCTGCAGGCTCTTGCCCCCTAGCCACACCCCACAAGCCTCCCCAGGCATCGGACAGGCGGCGGGATATTCTGAGCCTGGCGTTGTTCCCGTCAGCTGCTGGCCGCCATGCCAGCCTGGCGCGGGTGCAGGGGCTGATTTGATTTGGCAGCTTTGGAATCGTGTGGTGGGGACCAGAGGGGGAGGGGGATGAGACACCCATCCCTGCTAGAAAATAAACAGCCTCAAGCACTCAGCAAGCAGAGAAGAGGGCACAGTCTGGCACAGGGGTATTTCTGGGTTCCCCACTTGGTGCCCCCCTTTTCTCCCCTAGGCACTGATGCCTGCCCACAACTGCTGGAATCTCTGGCTCTCCTTGGGTTGACTGCAGGGATGATAGTAGCTGCACCTGGTGTGTGGATGCTTGTGGTGTGGCTGTGGTAGGGTATCTGGTTGTCCCACAAGTCCCCATAGCCTGTGGGGTCTCTCTCTTAGCTGAGCTTACAGCTGGGCCTGAGTGTCACCCAGGATGACTGGTTCTGTGTGGGGAATGATGGTCAAGGTGTGGCCATCTCCCACTGTGACTTTGGCTATGTGGCTGAGCCTCTGCTGGTGACTGACTACAGCCCAGGGCATGACGAGGTCACCCACACGCCTGACACTACTGCAGGGTCTAGTATGCATTGGCTTGGTCCTGTTCCTTCCCTCTGTGCAATGACCCCACTAACCTGGCCATGTCTGTGTCCGGCAGAGGAAATGACGAGGGCCAAGATAAGTGCCTGACCCCAGGGCCCGTCCCTTTTGTCCACAAAGCCTAAGCATTTTTCTCCACCCAAAGTCAGATGGTCTCCCACTGAGCTGCCCCAGGACAGCGCCCACCCCTTCCCCTGAGAGGAGGTAGACCTCATGTCAGTGGGTTCTCCAGCCCCCTGCTCAGGCTTCCATCACTCCTGGTAGAGGCTCCTACCCCCTCATCTCCACCCCTTCTGGTTCCCCCTTCACTCGATCAGGTGTGGGGACAGTGATAGGACTAGGAGAGTCTCTCCCAGGCATTCACAGCTCCCCATACTACCACTCCCACCTCAGTGTTCACCATCCTTCTACTCCCCACTCCTACCAGAGAATCTAGATGCCCCAGGATGCTCCCAGATACCCCAGGAATCTGCAACAACTTGTCTATAAGCTGCTGGTGTCCTGAGGACCTGGACCCACAGCCTGCAGTTAGAGAACTGCTGCTGGATCATTAGGGTTTCTGATCCTCTGACCTCTGCACTGTGGGGTCAGACTAGGACCTCTGCCCTAAGGGGCCCATAGGCCAGGGCTGTGCCCCAGATGCCAGGCAGGGAAGTCAGGGTGGGCTGAAGCCTGCTTTGGAAAAGATGCAACCTCTCATCTGTCACCGTCTTCCCATTGTACCAGTAGCATGGGTCCTCCAGGGTCTTCAAGTCTCTCCCTACTCAGCTACAAGAAGCTGGGCCCCTCCTGGAAACACTGAAGGAGCAGCCCCAGGACACCGAGGGGAAGACTCAGCCCTGTCCTCAAGGTCACAGAGAAGGAACCTAGGCTCACAGAGCTCAGCTGTCACAAAGAGGGTGGTGGGATGGAAATAGTCTGCAGAGGGCCTAAGGGGCTTCCTAGAAGAGGTGTGGAGGGGGGCCTCACAGGAAGAGGAGAATGCCAGCTTCAGGGTGGGCTCCTAACTGTGTGATCAGGTTTTCACTTGGGATTTGCACGTCCTCATGATGTACTGCATACATCTGTGTGTCCAAGTGCGTCGGTGCACGTCCCAGTCATGGAGGCCTGACCTCTGGTCTATGTCCCAAGGGCAGTGTCTGCCCCAGGCAGGGGTCATACAAGTCTCAGGGATAGTGAAGGAGAGGATCTGAGCAGAGGAGAGGAATGGAGAGGGAAGGGCCGAGGAGAGACGCCCACATTTCCGGGGACTCTGTGTGCTCAGCATCACACTGACTATGACAGGGATCAGCCCTCAAACCCCTCACACCTGATGCTGAGTGCAATGCACTATGCCCCAGGGGTGAGTGAAGCGTAGCACTGAGCTCTGCCACACCCCGCTGTGCACCTCCAGACAGGACCTTTCTCTCTCTGAGCTGGTTTCCTCATCTGAAGAATAAAAGGTTGCACTTGATGATCTTCGAGGGCTCTTTCAAGTATACTAATCATTTGAGAGAGGCTTCCACACACCAGAGCTAGAGCTGGGGACTTGCAGGAATGGGGAGAGGGCCTGTGGGCAGGCAGAGACAAGAGTGAGGACAGGACAGCAGGAGGAAGGGGTGGCGGAGCAAAGAGAGAAAGCCCAGCCCAAGGAGGCACTCTGTGGTCTGGGCAGCTGGGCGGGGTTCCCTCCCAGGGAAGGAGACATATCCTTAGGCTGCCACAGGAGAGGGGAAACAATGGGACTGTGTGGAGGACAGGCAGCAGCTGTCACCCTACCTGCTTCTGGCCTGCAGGAGGAGAAGAGAAAGGGGTGATGGACAAGGCTTTGCCGTCTAACCTGAGTCACCTGCACTCCTACTCCCCAGGTGGCCCAGAAGGGGATGGCTATCACAATGGGAGCACCAGGACTGGGAATTCAGGCCCTACTGCAATGTGTGACCTAGGCCAACTCCAATCTGTGAACCGGCCTGTCTAGGGAAACCCACCTAGCTAGGGAAACCCACAGATTCATGCAGCTGTTTTGGGATTTTAAGGACCCAGTTAAGATGGGCACTCTAGAAGGACAAAGTCCTCCCCTCAAACCTCGATTCCTGCACAACTTTGGCCTGGGTGCAAGGCATGGGCAGGATGCAGGAGGGAGTGAGATACTGGACCACTGGGCTGGCCTTTTGCCAGGATGGGCTATTGGCCTGTGACATAGTGGAGAACATATCAGTACTTCTAGCCCCTGCCAGGGACCTCCCTTCCTTGACCCCTTCTCGATACCCACTGGGGCAGGAGCAAGGCCCTCCTCAGCCAGTATTCAGGGAGTGCTGATGGCACTCTTTGGCTGCCCTGGCCTCTGCTCTTGTCTGAGTCCTTGGTACTTGGGGCCCTCACAGGCAGGGGTTCATGTGTTTCCATGTCTGTGTCCAGGAAGTGCTCATGTCCTGTTTTCCCCCCTAGGCCAGCACTGTCAGGGAAGGGGTGGGGGTGAGCAGGCCTCTCCTTCCTCTGCTGTGGCCATTTCTGCCCAGAGACTTTGGGGGCTGGGAGGAAAGGGTACTACTCTCTCTGCCATAGTCTGAAACAACGAAGGAATGGAGGCAGAGTTGAAGAGAATGACCACCTTGCTGTGCAAGCTGAGGAGTGGCAGGCCTCTCACTCGCACACACACCAGTTCTGCTGTGGCAGGAGAGACAGCCTGTGTGACACAGGCTGAAAGAGTCTCAATTCTCCTCCAGTGCTAGCCCCGCCCCTTCCTCCCCTCCCTCACTAGGGGTGGGGGCAGCACCCACCATCCCAAGCTATCTGTCTCTATTGCATCTTGTTATGTTTTTAATAACTGAACATTGACATTAACAAGGCAGGTGGTTGCAGCTCTTCCCAGCAGCCCCATTTAGAATCATTGAATCATCACATCATCAAATCCTAGAATCCCAGATTCACAGAATGTCCGTATCTTAAGCTCCTGGAGCCTCAACATCTTAAAATCATAGAATGTCGCAGTCACACAACCATGAATCCACACAGCCCTGGCTAGGAGCTGGGAGTCATGGAACACTAGAATCTTCTCAGTAAGAGCTCCACGAACTGACAATTACACATTCTCAAAGTCATATACCCCTAGCAGTTGGGCTTATATATCCCTTGGTGATACTGACCCCCAACTTCCTTCTTTTACAGGTGAACAAATGCAGCCCAGGAAACGGTTTTGTGCAAGACTACCGGAGAGCATGGAGCCATGCAATGCCCAGCCGGGGACTGCTAGACTGGACCTCCACTTTCGGTGTTCTGGGAAACAGTGGCGCAACTTTTACATTCTGAAATACTAGTATTTATGTTGGGGTGAGGCTGCTCCTCTTTGCTCTTACTCCTGGCCCTCCCCCACTCTTCCTGCTTTTCCCCACCGTCCCCCTCCTGAGCCCACACTACATGCTCTCAGCCCCTCTCACTTTCAGCTCCTAAACCTCTCTTATCCTTTCCATCTCCCTTTGGTGCCCCCAAACAGAGTCAACCATGGATGGGGGTGCCCAAGGCCAGCTTACTCAGAGTAGGGGAAAAGAAAGGCAAAATGCTTCTCCCCACCCCCAGGCCATCAGGTCCTCAGAAGGACCCGGATAGCTCCTCTCAAGGGAGCAGAACCGGAAGGTCCTGGAACCCCAGGG